TCAGCTCCTTTCCACCTCACCTGTACTACCCTGACAGACTGCAGAGCTTGGAGCCCTTCGGTGCTCCCTTACTTAAAATTGCTCTCAGACACTTTGACCTAGTCACAAGCCTCCAACAAAAACAACTCTGAGGAATCTCTCTGAACAAAGCGCTCCCTGTAGTCCTCGTCCCTCAGTGGCCAGCATGGCACAAGCACAACAGGATGAAACCAAGCATGAGAGCTGCCTGCAAGAGCCTCGGCCCCTCGCTGAAGGAGGAGCTCTCTATGCTCATTGTTTTAACTCGTGAATCTGCTCCTTTCCATTCAGAGCATAATCTGCTTATTCCAAATGACTCATCCTTAATTTCAAATGTGTTCAGTTTAGTTTGCTTAACTCTAAGTTCTCACCTGACAGACAGCTGCATGAAAAGGTCCTGAGTCACAGTCACTGCCTTCGGATCACACTTTCTCCCAGACCCCAAACTCATTACAACTACTCAGCACGGGGATGTCAAGACAATCCCTGCTCTATATTCATCCTTCAAACTCTGACTTTTCCCTGTTGCTGCCCAGCTTCACACGAACTGCTCTTTTGCATTCTCACTACTAAAACCATTAAGAGCTTCTACTGCGCGCAGTGTGACTGCCTACAGCAGGGGCAAGTAAATCAGCTGGATGCCTTTCACTGCAATACAGACAGCCTAGAAAAATATTTAGGGAGAGTAATTTAGGGTGTGACCATAATAAGAAGGAAGCAAAGGCACAGATCTGCAGCAAAACACCACTTATCTCCGAGGACGTGACCATCCCCAAGGCGGCAGCAGGTAGGAGCCCACTCGCTGGCCACAGTTGCCAATTTACACAAGTTGGCCAGTGGTCAAGCCTAAACCATGGATTTAGAGTAAACACTCAGCAACAGGTTGAGTTTGTCAGGAAGCTGCATCATGCTTGAAGCAAACGCCAGACCACTGCGGTGATGATCACAGTGGACTGAAGAAGGTTTGTGACACCCTTTAGAAATTCCATGCAAAATCATTCCAATATAAAACCTGTAAAACCTTTGGCTGCTCACACTGGAACACTAATATCACAGATCCTGTGCTTTTATTCCCTCATAGAAACAGATATACCATCGAGCAACAAAGGCTTTGAGAGTGCTACTGCAGACAACGCTGTTCCATGCTTACTGGAGCTTTCCACGTGCAACAGCTCAGCTCCAGTTCTTCATCTGACTGCCTCTCAGGAAGGGGAATGGATTCGCATCTGCCACACAAGTCTTTGAAAGCTTCACGTAGATTAAAGGAATGAAGGATATATCCACGTGTTTAAAAGGCAGTGGATTTTACAAACAGAGCTGGCTCTGGACAAAGTCTTTGGGAATAAAGTAAGTCAAATCTTTCAAGAATTCAATTCCAGTCCTGGCCCTGGAGAAGAAGTGAACTGCATGCCAGCTTTATCCTTACACAGTTTCTGCATTTGCACAAGGGCAGAAGTAGCAGAGGACGAATAAAGACTTGTTTTCCTAGGAAATCTAAAAAAAAAAGTCAGCTTCAAAGCTAGCTATTTCAGCAGCATACTTCCTACATTGTCACATTTGACAGTAACACCCTAGGACTGACCCAGGGAGGTAGGAAGCGAGCACCTCCAGCTCCCGGAACAGCCGGCAGCAGGATGAGTGCAAGCTGCTGAGTTCTGCAGTATCTACAAGACTGCATTCTTGTGCTGAAATCAGGCAGGGATAAATTATCTGGCTTGATACAATGGGGAAAAAAAAGCCCTCCCAAAAGATCTTTGTTATGGTATTTTCAGTTATATCTTGGGCTTTTTTTTTTTTAACTTATTTTATGGCCAACAGAAATGGTATTTCTAAAAGGAATGACAACAGGATTATAAGTTTCTTATGGTAGTGATTGTGGTTTCTGCCAAGAATTGCTATTTTCCTCTATTTTCTGTACTATTGTACAGAATCTATTTCTTTTTAATGCTGAGTATCCGTTTGTAGGTTCAGAGTGAACAGGTTAGCTACGTTCAAGACTATGCTACAAATGCACTTCTATTTTAAATTCAGATTAAGAGATTTAAGACTGCCTGTGGTGAGTATTTGTGACTCCTGTACAGTGGGAGGTTATTAGAAAGGAACAAAATACTGAAGATAAACGTGCTCAAGCAACAGCCCCCCAACACAGCTACTCTTGCCTAACACAACAGGCCTTCAACAACTCGAAACAGTTTGATCCTCCCAGTCTCTAGTGCATCCAAATGCCCCTGCTATTCCAAGCTGCTCTGCTGAGCTGAGCAGACTGTCAATGTTGGAAACCTGTCAAAACTGCACCAATGGATTTTTATTTTCCCTTCACAATATGCTTTTGACTTGTTTAAATCCAACTACAGCCAAGTTGCAGTGACCGGTTTACCATAAGCCTACGGGAGGCAGGGAACAAATTATTTTTCGTTTTGAAAGCAAGCAATGCAAAAGGAACGGATGAGTGGGATTTCTAGGCAGCGCCTAGCGCAGACAGCACTGAAGTGTATCCTCCCAGCTGAGAGTTTAACAACACATTCACTCAGCTGAGACATGGGAACCTACTGCAAAAATCACCCACTCGCAAATCAACCCAAAGGATTTCCAAGAGCGAGAGCAGCCAGAGAAGGGGAAGGTCTGAAGGGGCTCTGTCCAAGCGCACCAGGAAGGGGAAGAACGCCTGGGTGCAGCTCCTGCAGCATCCAGGTACATCCACGCGCTTCCCCGCACACCAACAGGATGCCTCCTGCATCCATCCTGCACCAGAGCAGCAGCTCTGCAGAGACTGACCACCACTCCTTGACGCTGCTCAGCACCACTTGTGACAAGCCCTGCCCAACGGCTCCTTCCGGTTCTCAGCAATGAAACACTGCCTGTTTGTTTGTGCATCGCTGCAATGATGGGATTTGTCCAGCTTTATGCCTTGAGCTTTGCCCTTCATGTTTCTGTCTCCATGACCTAATTAGGGAGCGCTTACGTTTAAAGAGACACCAACTTCTGCACGCGTGACCGCTGACAAGTGCTCACCTGGTTCCTTTGCCTCCCCATGAGCAGCACGCAGAGAACATACAACACTTCCAGCTTGTACATGATTTCGTGCATGATCTTCATGGACTGCGGAAGCTGTGTTCGTGTTGAGGTGTTGGCCAACCCACTTTCATCTGAAGACTCTGAACAAGATGGAAAAGATGTGAGCCTGAGGCAGCTTCAACAGGAAAGGATTTGGTACAGTTATTACTTTTACACTGAAACACTGCGGATGTAATATCAGCATGTCTGCTTGAATCTTCTTCTCAACTAAAAATAGTGACATACAACAAATAATCAATTCAAATTAAATGCTACAGAAGATAAAAAATACAGCTAGAACTTTAGAGGAGATAAAAATTAGATTTTTTACAATTACGTATTGTTTTTCATAATAAGCTAAATAGCATCATCTACCTAAAATAAGTAGGAACACCTGTATCAATTAACAGACTACTGCACCAGAAAGGACATGGCAGGAAAGGGAACAAAAGCAGGAGTGAGATTATCAGAAGCTTTTACTATTAATCTACTTTCATTTCATATCTCAGTACTGGTGTACTTAGACCACAGTTAAATCATTTTCATAGCCCTGTCTGGAATTCTACTGTTAAGGGCAGACATGGGATATAACACACCATGATTGCAAGTGGAAAACACGACAGAAATCATGAGTGACACAGACAAAGTAAATAAGGACATAGTGAAACTCGTAGGTTGCAATTCAAAAAGGAGTTGTTAGCCCTTCACACAATACATAACTAAGTGATGAACTGCCGTGCCACAGGATAGCACAGATGCTTTTCGAACCCATGTGAAGAAACAGTAACCAGGCAGACACACAAAGGAAGGAAACCATCAAAGACAAGAAGCATAGACACCACCTCTGACTCAGAAGTCCCTAAGCCACAAGCCACTGGAGACTGACGCAGTGTTCTGGGAAAGTATGTCTAGGTTTGCTTCGAGCTGGTGCTGCGGGTCAAGAGCTGTGACTGGGCATGTTCCACCTCCACAAAATTGCCTTGTGAGTTCTCTTCCAAAATACCAAGTGTTCTCCAGTTTCCACGAAGCTGGTGTGTATAAAGGTATGTGCAAGATGCTGCTGGGAGCATTCACATATTTCATTTTTTATGTATTTTCAGAAGTTTTAAGAATTAATTGCTACAAAACTAATGAAGCTGGGTAAGGAAGAAAGTTTTCCAAAGAAGCACAGAAGTAAAGATTTAGATACCAACATTTTGGGATAATTCTCATTACGTTACCGAGTACTTTGAGTTGTACAAGACACACATTGCATTTTTGTAATACTGAAGGGTGAAGAAACAAACCACACACCTACTTCAAAGCATCTTCCTAAGGTTGTGTTAACACTTCCAAACGCTCACTTGGAACAATTACTTTCTTTCAATTAATTTATTTCATTTTACTGGGAACTGTCCTTCCTTTTTAAATAAGAGACCACTTGCTTGGTACGAAGCGTTTGTACCTAAAGCCATCAGCCTAAGTTTTAGAGTAAAATGCTGGTAAAGTCACTTACCTCAGACGTGTGTTATTTTTGTCACTCCAGGGGAGATTAGTGCTGAGGATGTACAGCATTACAGTGTTATCTAAGTCTGCAAAGGGCACAGTTTGCCTTAAGACATTTCCTTTTGCTAACTTTAGTTCATGAAAAAAAAAAAAACACAACAGTGCTACATGAGAACAAAACAGGAGTCAGACCTAAATGCTGAGAAAAAGGGAATCGATAGCAGTTGAAAAGAAAAGCAACACATGGCAAACACTGAAAAAGGTGAAGATACGCATCAGCTAACAGTGGCTAGAGAAATGCAAGCCAGATACCTGTACTGCTCTGCTCTGCCTCTTCATTTGCCACTCTCATCAGCGCATCGAGGACTAGCGCATTGTCCAGCCAGGTGTACCATTCTTCCAACTCCTGGAGGAAGCTGGAAGTACCTGTTGTTTCAGACACTTTCCGTGTTGCCAGTTTGCACAATCGCTCAATGAAGCCTGGAATATTCAGAAGCGTAGCTGAAAAAGAAAAGTAATTTTACTGTGATTTAAGATCACCTGCACGACAGTCATCAAATCCTCTATACCACAAGGTACGAAAACATCTACATTAGTAACACAGAAGAGAACACAGAAACAAATTCCATCTGATTAAAAAGATCCAAAGATGGAAGAAGTCAGTGCACTCTGCTATTAAGAACTAGAAGAGAGTGCACATACCCTAGGCACAATTCAGTCAGTGTTAAACTGGTTTGTGTTGGACTTACACTGGAAAAAAATTCATTCTACCCTACTCCAACTGCTTGTTTCCAGCCAATTCCTTTTTGCTGGTACTGCTGGTTTCCAGTTCACAGTGAGTCAGTATCAAGGAACTGATCTGGCTGAAAACTAAGTTGGCAGAAATAAAGCCCTTGGAAGGGGCAGCTCCACCTTCCGCTTCCTCTGTACGATGCCACCTTCATTTTACCTCCTGGGTGTTTGTCTCACAGCAAACTGAACTAGCCCACTTCAGCAGCCGGGCAGAAAGCTGTTAGCTTTTTAAGTACTAGTTTCCTGAATTAGTTCATCTTGGAGCAAAACAGATGGGGAACACATGACAGGAGTCCCAGGTTAGAGAGTTTTAATTGTAGTGAAACTGCACCCTTAGAAACAGCAGTTCAAGGAAAGAAGTTGCTGATCTGCAAAATGCTTGGGGAGGTGCTAGGAGCTGCATTTTGTCCTAAGGTTTTCACAGAATAACTTAAATTACAGGACTTGTTTATTATAGATACACAGCTAAGTCTTCACTTCACTACACATTTGTAGATGAAGCAGAAAAGGACAAAGAATTCAGCCATAAACATCATGTGAGACAGTTGGGAGTCTGCCCGATTGTACCACCTCTGAAAGAATAAACTCCCCGAAAAATTCTTCAAAATGGAATACGGTTTATAGTCTTAGATACAGTCTGTGATTGTGCAAACAAAAAATGATCTGCTTGGCTGAGTTCAGTTCTGCAGGATCCAAGCTTATTCAGTTCAACTAATTTAAACTTTGTACCCACACCTACATACACTTGCCCCTATAAAATTTCTCAGCTTCTGCCTGCTGGATTATGCTATCCATCTCTCACTGGATGCTTAGAGGTGGCAGCGGTTACAAAGAGTTTCATGTTCGTGGCTAAGACAGAACGCTGGATGGGAGAACCAGCTCCAAACCCCCTTTTTGCACTTCACGAAATTGTGTGATCTGGGCCTATGCAAATGTCTGCCTCAGAAGCTCAAAAGCGTTTCAGGGTAGTAAGAGCTGAAAACAGCAGATTTAACCCTTCACCTTGCCTAGAAAGATGAGTATGAATTTAAGACTTCTGCATCTGAGAAGTACTTAGCAAAATAAGGAAATCTGCACTGTGGCCAAAGTTGAGATTAGAGCCACAGCTTTCCAAGGCTGGTGTGGTAAGAGAGGGCAACGTGATTAATGTTAAACACACTTTCCTTGTTGATAAAGAAAGACATCCTGCTCAAGAGAATGTCAGGTAAAATCAGAGAAGAAACTGCTCCAACAGCAACTGTGCTGCATGTAGTTTTAGCTCAGGAATTCTTATTTTAAGGAGGACATGGAATTACTGAGAGTTGCTAAAGGGAAGGCCATGGAAGTGACTGAGGGATAGAAACCAAACCCAATTATTTTAAGCCATTCAAGTTGATCAGAGAGGGCTGAAATGACAGAAATTAACTCACATAATTACCAACATAATATGAAACTGAAAGCTACAAAGCAAGTTTCATTAACAGAAAAGACTGTTTCCAGGAAACTGCTGGACAAAAGCAAACAAAGAGGAACGCACCACAAGACAGAATGTTCACAGTATCCTCTAGAATCACATGCTACAGATGTGACACTGAGAAGAGGGAAACTTTACAGATTGTTGAGATTCTTTGGCTTTTGCTCACAACATAACAATTACCTTGATTAATTTCAGCACGAGAAGGACCCAAGTTTTTTTTCTGCTGGGCGTTTTTGGCAAGAAGCGTGTGCTTGTCATCGCTTCCTGTGTCAAGTTCAGAAATGGTGACGGCAAGGATCCTGCAGAAGTTGGCAAGCTGCTGCTGATCAAAACTGGACACAAGGCTCGCAAGATTGGGAATATCATCCAGTTGTATCATTTCCTAGAGGAGGCAACATCAACTGAGTTAAGTTGTACATGATATTCAACACGGGAACACAGCCAGAAGGCTTCAGCTACAGCACTTCCCTGAGAGACCTGTGTGTTACTGCAATGTTAGTAGAAGAGACACAAACAGTCCCTGAAAAGTGAAGAGCCTGAAACCACCTGTGATTTACAACTGCTGTCATTTATATTGATCAACTCGAGAAGTATAGCTACCCATTTTTTAAAGACTTAAAGTGTTTAAGTCAAATTTTGGGGTCTTTTAAAAAAAAAAAATGACTAATTTAATACACAAATTGCATTTAGGTATTACAAAGTTTCAGTTCAGTTTCGCTTCTCTCAGTATTCTCTTTGAAGTGCACAAATAAGAACTGATGCCTGGATTCTTTTCCTTAGTCTTCATCAAAAGATATGAAAAAGGTGCTGAAAACAGCTTTCATCATTTATGTTCACACAAACTAAGCTTGTTTCTTATCTCGGGAAGTACAACATCCTCAGCTTTACTCTAAAAAGACAGTAGCAAGTTACAGGATCCTGACCCCCTCCACAGAATGCACACAGACACGATTCATTCAGGGTTTTCCCAGGATTACACGTCTAATATTTTATTTGCACCACACCAGGCCACTAAGCCATAGTGATGCTGGCACGCAAGTTCAAAACCCTAGTTTGTGCAGAAGACTTCAGTGCCCTGTTCCCCCAGTCTACAACTTCAAGTAATCTCAGAGAGGTGACAAACCCCAAGGTAAGAACAAGAAGCATGGGAAGCCTTCCAGATGTCAGGAAGACTACTAAGATATCTGAGGTGTAATCAGAAGGCGAGGATGAATAATTAATTTGAATGAAGTTCATTTTCTTGATTTGAAATACTGGTTGCACCTTAGTGAGAGCTTGGCACTCACCCCCCCATCACTCTCTGCAAGGTACGCTAAAGTGTTACAAGTTTGACACCACACGCATAACTTGGCTTGTGTATGACATGTGATTGAGTTAATGATCGCTGTAAACAGTCAGGTTTCAAATGAGGCACAGAAGTGAGAATGCTGGCTTAGAGGATTATCTTCAGCAACTCTTCAAAGGAACAGCTGTCTTTCCTCTACTGGCCTGAAAAGCCATACAATTAAAATTAAGAAACCAGTAACCAACCTTTTTAACTCCCAGGATATCTTCAATGAGCGTTGCAGTTTGCAGGAATGTCTTTTTGTTTGTCATCAGTGTAAACAGGAACAACACAAAGTCGTTTCTCTCCGCCAATCGCCTCGTGACTCCTTCCGTCTGGAAAGCAGCAAGATGCACACACAGACCCAGAGTCAGAGCCCACCTCGACAACCTACACGTTACAGGCACATGCAGGACAGTTTTACAGATGATGTGTTACCAAATCAGCTATTCCTGAAACCAGGAAACATCGTGTTTCTGGTGACCCAAACTAGCACCAGTCCTTGTCTGAAGTTGACATGACGTTGGCAAAAACTACAGGCTCCAGGATGAGAGGCTTCATCTCAAGGCAGTTGTTTACTTGCCTGAATCAAAAGTAAACACTGCATGCCTGGAAATAACGTCAGAGAGGCTTGTCTCTGCTTTCCCACACAAACTGTAACCAGCTCCATTTTATGGCATGTAAATGTAGTCCCCAGATTCCTCCTAAACTGCTGGCATTGCTCTCAGCTGGGCAGAGTCTGAGCAATCAGACTCAAGTGTTGGCCTTAACGAACTCGGTGATGAACCCAAAAGTCACGCTAAAGCATGAACTGGGGTTCATCACCGAGTTCGTTAAGGCCAGCTCTCACACTCTGATGCTTAAAGACAGCTTTCCTGCTCAGATCTCTGCTTAGAGCACAGCCAGTCTTTTCTGGAACTAAATTTAACTTAAAACTACATCCTTACCACTTGCAAAGCTGCCTATTATCAGTGCTTACAGAACTAGATAAGCTCAGATGCTCCCTGAATATTTACACATAAGCATACGAACAGTTAATATTGCACAGAAATCACTCCTGTGGCCCTGACCACTTCGCATTCAAGAGAGAGCAGTAATACTGAAGTGAATTAAAACAGCAGCTAGTCTGCAAATTGCAAACTTATTAGCATATTACACTATTCACAGTTTGCAAAAGTTGCGTTACCTGCAGTTAAAAATAAAATAAAATAAAATAACATAAGTCAAGTAAAAGTGTTCCCTCTCTTCCCCCTCCTATGTGTACACAGATACTTCATAGTGAGAACATGATCTATTAAGACTCAAACTCTTGAGATTATGTTGATGTCTTTGGAAGAGATCCAAGCCAGTAACAACCTTTTTTTAATTTGTTGTTAAACAACACTCCCTAGGTTATGACATAATAAACTGTGTAATTAAGTAAGCATGTGATTTTAGCATCAGTAATTTATTGGCAAGACATTTCAACAAGTCTTTAACCTAGCGTCTGTCTTAGCCCTGATCTGCCATCAACCATACTGAACTAATATTCAGGAGTTGCAGGATCAAACTTCAAATGCTTTGCCAGCACCACCACTGAACAGGACCAGCTGTAGCTCAGGTTAGCAAGCATCCATTTCCAGTTTCAAACTGTAAGTTTGAACACAACAAAGGCTGACATGACTTTCCTATGGAACCACGGATACAGAAAAATCCAAGAGGATTTAAACTTCACAGTGTGGCTAAGAAAACAGAAATTATTTGAGTAACACATCAAAATACAGGGTGCTCCTATATTTAACTGAAGGAATTTTAATGAAAGTTTCAGAGTAAGTTTAAATTATGCTTAGAATTTGGAGTCTGTATGTTGTCATCAAGTGGCACATGTAAAATGACCAGCAGGACACTTTTCCATAGCAGTTGTACTTACACATATACACGTGTTGTACAGTATGCTTAGACAGTCCTTGATGAGGTCATCGCTTACTGCAAAGGAGAACACAGACATTCACTAGCTATACGTTGCCAAGGAACACTGATGTCCACAGTAGTGACATGCATAGCTATATAATGGGTGGGAATTTCAGGCTAACTGCTAGCTCAGATCATATCTGCAGATGCCTTGGAGGACAGAAACCAGAGGAAGAAACACCGTACACCTGACCTGTTCACATGCTTTCTTCCAAAATGATTATCAGCACTGTCTAAGACCACAGACAGAGATGTACTTGTGGTCTAGTGCACTACTCAGTCACACATAAAAGAAAATGACAGGATGTAAACAGTATTTTTGGAAAAATGTCATAGATCAACCCAAAGTTTGTGAATATGAAAAACTGCTGAGATGTGTATTAGCTCCAATCGCTAAGCACGGGTTAAAAAAAAAACAAAACAGGACAGTTCATGTGGTTTTCTTCAGACAGCATCAGGAATTCACTGAAAAGCTTTCAATCTGATTTACTCCAGCATTTTAATATTTAAAATATGTTTTCAGTACAAATGTACGAAAGCTGCTTCTAGCTCAAGCTGAAGTTATTTCACCTTTGAAGTTCCCTGGCTGACAGGCGTGAGTGCACCATGACATTCCTTACCCTCCAAAGGGTTCAGGGAACCAGGGGGATCACAGACGGGAGAAATGAAAACACTAAACTAAAGCTGCTCCAGAAGGAAAGTTGTGCTGAAGCTACTGCCCCATTGACAAGTTCTCTTTACAGGAATTTGGAAATTAGTAGTCACTGTGACTAGGTCAGGAAAACAGCATACTTTTCATTATCTCACAATCTCTGTAACTCCTATTACACAAACAATGTTTTGTGGCTTGTTATTAATAATTGTTAACTGCAGCTATAGCCACTAAAAGTTTCCAGTGATTGCAGATTTACTGCACTGAGAGAAATATGTTATGCTGAGTGCACAGATATTCCTAAGTTGTGCTTTGCAACAGGTGACTATCCTAAATCCCATCAGGAATCAGTACCACGGAGAACAATGAAACCATTGATTCATTTAGCAATAGGAAACTGCTGGTATGGAAAAGAGAGTAACAGAAAAATAGAAAAATTTCTGTCTGAATAAGGACACAAGGCAAGAATGAAAAAAAGATAAAACATCTATTTACTTACTTTTCTGCTTCTTTTTCTGTGTAATAAGAGTTGGTCTCATGAGAATTTCTACTAAAAGCTGTAACAACAAGATAACGAATTAAGAGAATAATCATTGGGATACAAATAACCAGTCAATTTGTCAGTGACAAATCCAAATTTAGTCCTGTCTCTGCTGAAGTCACAAAGGTGAATAATGGAAGCTCTACAATCAAACCCCACTGGTATCAAAATTACATTGACAAAAAATAGTTGGTTTTGCCCTGAAGAAATAGTAACAGTTGCATACAATAATCTCCCACTGGCAAATTTTAAAGAATTTGAGTTGGCAAAGAATTTAATTTCACTTGCATCCAGATAACATCAAGGATGGCTATCACACATCTCCCCAAATGATGAATCTTTAGCAATAATCTGTAATGAGATGCAAATTTCACAAAAGCTCTCCCTAAATCTTCCTGGGCTTCAAAACACACTTCAGGTCCAGACATAACCAAACTTAGCTGCTCCAGATCTTAATCTCATCAACAAAGAGCAAGCCACTGCTTGTGTACATGCACCTTAGATGTGTACTTACATACACCTTTAAAAACATGTGAATTGTTGTCTCATTTCTACTTCAGGAAAGTAACAGTCAACCTTCCAAGCCTAGACTACGGTTGGTAGATGTAGAACTCATCTTTAATTGTTCTAGTCTATAATGCTGGTTTATTTTAAAACGTTTTTAAAAAATAGCAGTTTATTTAAAGATGAGAGTTAGCCACTAGAAGGAACTGATGACTTCTGCAAGAAGTATCCCGAAAAGCCCCTGGTTTTAAAATTCAGTTTAAAATTGTTAAGAGCAATGTAGGCATCACACAGTCAAGTCATGCCAACTGACAACATACTTACATTTTACAACTTCCTCTATTTGTTCCAGCTTAACTTTACCCTTCTTTTAATGAACCACCTACCCAGACACAGAGGAAAACATCTGATGGCACTAGAGGCACTGCCCATGCTTTAAGCACTGACAAATAAATAGAGAGGCAACTTTAAAGAGGAATATACATTTTCCAGCAATATTGTAACAGCAGCTGTAGGGCACCAGTATGGTAGAGAAAAAAGACTGCAACAGTAGTGTAGTGCTCATATTAATGGCTCATGTTTTAGGAAAAGAATGCACACCTCAAGGCTCCATACCCAAGATCAGCATCCAAAGATATCCCTGTGCACTTGGGATGCAGGGCACCTGCTCCTCTCCTGGGAAAGAACACCTACTGCAACAAGCCTCTTTTAAGGGCAGCTGCAGTCATGATTGCTCCTGCCTTGCCACTGAGGGGACCTTTTCAGCTAGTATTTATTTTTTCCTGGTCAATACTATAACCCACTATGCATTTATCACCTTATTCCTGCAGAACTGGTGTGCTCCTCACATACACTCCAGGGACTGGACTGCAGTGGTGTGAGACACTCCTTGGAGAGGGCTTTCTTCAGCCATCCTACTGAAACTGCAACAATATGCAGCAAGAAGCGCAAGAGTCCAATGGCAGAAAGAAAACAGGTAAGCGGGTGCCTCACCAGAGGCAGAAGGAGCAAAAAGGGAGTCATGAGATCTTATTTCTTGGAATGGGGATGCATTCAGGTCCAAAGTCCACGAGGCTCATGTATAAGTTTGTGCTCTCGAGTAGTATTTTACATGTATTCATATAAAGGGAGGAGACACAAACGTGCTTTTGTGCTTCCTTGATGTAAAGGCTGTCAGAATCCCAAAATATTTTAAGGAATATACTATCACACAGTACAGCATACAGAGTACACTGGAAATACAACATCCTTCAAAGTTACTCACAACTGACTGTTCGAAATGCTGCAGTACAGGTACAGCACACGGCACACACAGAGTCAGCAGATTAGACTACTTCCCTTTCCAGTCCTAGAGTAGCATTTTCAAAAACATCACACTGGCTTCTACCACTGCCTTTAACCAGGTTAAATCCACTTGTATCAGCCAAGTCTCTGGCCATAGGACCAGGTAATTACAGTGTATCTGATATTTACCATCTCCAGCCCAAGAAAAAAAAACAACCCCCAAACAACAATCAATAAAAAAACAAACAAACCAACTCAACAAAAAACAAACCCATGCTTATTTAAACATGAAACATAAAGCCATTTTCTGTACATTCTTATGTTAAAAGCACCCCTACAGGAAGTAACACTATCTCCCTTGAAAAACAAGGGAAATTTAGAATATTTTCATACAATGTTCTGAATTGCTTGGGTAGCTGAAGACTTTTGTCCTCAGTTGACAGGATACCAGCAACTAAACCAATGCCAATTTCAAAATGACATAACCTAAAGACATATTTTACTTTAGTAAAATTCCAAGTGTTCTAAGCATTTTAAGTTCTAAATTCTAAGCATTCTAAGTGTAACAAGAGAGAAGTTGCAAAGATACTGTTTAGTGAGACCAAATTAGGGGGAAAAAAAAAAAAGCGGGAGGAAGAAAGTGTCAATTAGTTCACTGGAAAATACAAATCATACATTTCTAATGAAAGCTAAGATCCCAGAGTCCATCACCATAAAATGGAGCAAACTTGGCTACTTGTGTAATGTAGATTTAAAATAAATAAACGAAAAGATACATTGCTAGAATGGCTACAGAAACCTCGCAGTTCTGTTTAAAAACTTTTCCATAGATGAAATAGTCCACATTGCAGGTGAGCAATAAACACAGACAACCTGGCTAAGAGAGTGCCCTAGTGTGCCTAAAAAGCCTTTTTTAAGTTAAAAACAGACTACACCTCACTTTTGATGATGCAATACCTCAGAAAATATACCCTTTCACATTTTGATTAACAGAAACAGGAACGATTCTAATGCTCAACATCAAATTGGTAAAGTCATTCTGTAGCTTGTGTTTAGAAGCTTCAAAAGCCTCCAAGACCTCCCAGATTTCTCAGTGGTATGACTATCACGCAAAACCCTTTTGATATCATTGAAAAAACCCACACTTACATCGACTCCTCCAAATAAATCAAATGTGTATGTATTTGGGAAAGTGGACTCTTGAGCAGCTTTTCTATCTTCTGTAACAAATGCCATGGCTTCCATTGAAAGAAGTGGAGAAATTTCCTGCATGCAATAAAAAAAAAAAAAAGAGTTCAAAAAGAAAACGGTTCATCAGCATAAACACAACTGACTACCTGTGTAATCTACTGACTAATCAATTACATGCATTCCCAGCTCCTATCTACCAGCCAACTCACAGATACCATCATGCAAACAGTTTCAAAAATTAGTTAGAATATGACCACAGCAGATTTTAAAGAAGGCAGTAACAAAATAACCCCTAGCTTTCCAGAAGAACAGTGCAGATAGTACCTTTAAGATGCTTTGGCACTGGGAGAAATCACTGTTTGGGTGGCTATGTTCATATAGCTTTTGCAACAGTAAGGGAATCCCATTCCATTTTGCTTGTTTATCTCTTTCCTTTAACAAGGCCTCTGTGATCTGCAACAAAGGAAAAATGTAATTCCTATGTGTCCAATGCTTCACAACCAGGAAAACCACCTCATCGCTTCCCCAAAGTATCAATATCAGAATATGATAGAAAAATAGTTCATTGTAGAGAGCACCATTACAAAATCCAGTACCTCTTTCTATATAACAATTTATCCAGGACTGGTAGCTGCAAAATTTTACAGATGGTCACAGTATCTTAAGCAGGATGGGGCTTGAAGCAGATGTTATCATTTAGAGTACTTAATCTCATTCCATATTTTCATATTGATCAAATATTTTTTAATGGGAACATATTAGTCACTGAATAATTCCATTAGTAGGATGCTGACTGACAGGTCACTGAAGAAGGAATGTGTGCCCTCAACCCTACTAGGTGCCCCTCACCTTACACAAGCCTAAGGTAGACAAAACACTGAAGATGGAAAGGCTTCATTCCTCATCACATTCCACTACTAATGAGTATTTCCAAGTCCCTGGAGCCATTATAGATCACAGCAATGACCCAAACCACTACGATTTACAAGCAGACTCCAGAAGAAAGTATCAAAGACACAGTAAAATTTCCTCTGTAGTCTTGGGCTGGTTATAAACAGAGACCAACAACTAAATCAGTCAGAGAACAACACTGGCATTATGCTCCGGGAAACAGGCTGCAACCACAAAAAAGAACACCTTCATGTCTGCTCCTACATTCGTGCAAACTTTCTCCAATTTCCCTCCTTCTCTGCAAAATATATATATAAAAAAAAAATCAATATTCCCCACTGTATTTTATGCCTGAGAAACAAACGTAGCAGCAGCACAGGCTAATGAGTATTCTGCTGAGAATTCACAAAAGATGTTTTGAAGGCTGAACGCTTCCAGGTTACTGCCAGGGCATGCTGTAAAGGAAGAGTTCCTCATCGAAGTTCACCATCCAGTCAATGCTGATCAAAATTTAACCTCCTTCCTTAACAGCACTTCAGAGGTCCCCAAAACCCCGAAACAGGGACTTACCCTTGTACAGAAAGGTAAGGCAGACAACAATAATCATAACCAGCAGCATTTCTGCCTGGTTTTACAAAATTTTTATATGCCCTCCAAATAAAAAAACAAAATAAGGGGAAGAAACCTCCAATCCTCAGGCCAGCAAGACTGCATCTCAATGAAATATTTGTGGATTTTCTCTTACTCCTACACCTAAACCTCGAAGATGCTCTTGTTCTGTGTAAGCCACTCTCAGAACCTTCCTGTGGTTAACTTGCCTCCAGTCTGCTTAAATGTTCCTTGTTAATAGTTAACTGCCAGGAAAGCTTGCTTCTTATTCTTTCAGCCAAGACATCCTTCTCAGATATAGCTCAGTGTACAATGCCAAAGGGTCATTCAATTCCTCATTAGACAATTATATCCCAGTTTCTGAGAATTTAACCCTTTTCTCTGCTTGTTAGACAGCATACGGGAAGACCAGGAAACTGATGCAAGCACATGAAAACTCACACTGGCAATGTTAGCTGCTATGAGTCCTCGCCCTTCTTCTAAACTTCCCAGATTAGGGTTCTTTTCCCAATACAATACCCAAATTCATATCTAAGAATTTCAAGGCTCTTGGAGCATCAGGTTTGCTTGCTACAAGGCGTGACTGAAGCAGCATGAGCAAACCTGGGATATAAAACTCACCAGTTTTTAACTTTTCTCTGCTTCCTGACTTGTGAATTAAATGTAATCATCTAGCACTGCTGGAGAACGACACAGAGTTCCTTCTAAAGGAGGCCATTCCCAAACAAATGCCAGGATGAAACCAGAAAGTTAAAATGGCTTCTCATCATCTGAACTGTGAGTAATGGTTCAGCTCCTTTGAAGTCACAAATTTCCACTTCTCCTTCCAATACCCATGACAGAGCGAGCAAGAGGAGCTCTATCACTATCCCATCTCAGGTGTGGGAGGAGTACAACAGCCCCACGAGCAGCGGGAGGAACTGGATTAATTGCTGGGTAAAGCGCAAAGAACTCGCTGCAAAATGCCAGGGAAAGAATCCAACTGTCTGGCTCCAGCTGAAGTGGAAGATACCACAGGCAACGATGACGTGCATGGCTGCAATCTCAGGTTCCAGTAGCACAGTGCAGAATTCAGCATCCAAGTACTCTCAGAAAAGGCCAAAAGCCCTCAATGGAAGTCAAAACCTGGTCTTGGGCTCAATACCGCATTCGTTAATCACACATACGCTTCTTGGTTTGGGGCAGGATCCACCTCCACTCTCGTTTCTGTACGAGCAGGTCTTCCTCTCCCTGTCCTGAATTCCGAGAGGCAGTTACTCGTGCTGATCTGCAGAAAACTTTTGGAACTGAAATTCTGAAAGAATGAAGCAAACGTTTCCTTGCTCTCATTTTCTTTTAACTTCTTTCAAAAAAAACCCCAAAACAATCCACCAACTTTTTTCTTTCTCTTGATTTAATACACGTCTTTGGTTTCCTTGCAAGCTCTAGCTTGTAGTCCCTATTCTGTATTTATGAGGTTATCCTGGCTCTGAATATTTCCATTGTGGCAGGGCAGTATTTGCCAACGCAAAGATTCTGGATTCCGTGGAGGGATTAAAACTCAATTAGACTGTATGGAGCTGTCTTTCTTTACAACCATTTTGGTTAAAAACTGCGTCTCATGATTTCTGTAACAGCAACTAGTCAACGGTTTTAATTTATAAGTTGGTTTCCTTTTTGCTGGTTTTGGGCAAACATTATTGAATAGTCATCAAAATAAGCACTGGATCTTTTGGAGCCCCTTTCCCTCTCCAGCATTTTTTTTTTTTGGTCTCATCCAAGCAGGATAAAGCCAATCCAACACTGATTGCTCAGAAATTTTCTTCGTTCACCAAACAGCTCTGGATAAAAACTCTGAAATCTTGCATACAAAGTTGGGAAGTTAGATACTATCTAGACAGAAGAGCAGGTTGCAGAAGCCCAGCTGGAAATGGCATCAATTAAAGGAAAGGGGCTACCTAACTGATGACTGCAGGGGTTATGAACCATCACACCTTACTGGCATTAAAAGATGACAGAGTAAGTACCAATTACTTGGAAAACAACAGAACCAGTGTCAAAACTTCCCCACCACAGAGGCACAGTAACCCAAACTGGTACAAACACCAAGACACCACACAGTCAATTCTGACAAGTTTGCTATAACCCAATTTTTGAATCACAAACCAAGAAACCCAAGGGACAGCACGCTGTGGCTCTCCAGCAGCAGTTACGTTCCAGGCAGGCCCCTGAAAAGACGTGGCACACGCTAGCTCAAGCCCAGGCTCTGAGCTCCCAAGCTGTGTCCTGGTCCCAAGCATCTGCACGATGCCAGTTTTACACCGCCACTTTACTGAACACTGTCCACCAGCCAGGTTGTCAGACATCTAACCAGTATCAGCCATCTCCTCCTCCTCCAGCTGTGCCGGAGGCCACGGCAGCCTGAATTTGCTGGAAAGGCCATCAAAGACTTCCAAGAGGATTTAAGTACAGAGTTAAAAATGTGTCACCAAGCCCATCCATGACTGCAAGGTAGAGCAGACTGAGCCGTGTTCTCTCCAAAGTCTCCCAAAGGACTGGAGCCCAGGATTTACCAGAAGATTACTCCAAAGACTGATAACTACCATTGGAATACTTTCCTACTACATTTTAAAGAATTTTTGTGCATAATTTTTCTTCAAAGTAAACAAAAGGCTGAACAAAGCAAATCTAAATGTTTATTTTAAATTTCTTCCTAATCCTCCTGTGTTGTAAATCCTTTTAAAATGCCCTAGAATCCATTAGCACAATGGTCAATAAAAAGTTATGAATAATATCTGAATCTTCATCAATCTATGAAGTTATATGTTAATAGAACTTCTATGAAGCTGTATGTCAATATCTACCTAAATCCATCCCTTGATCAGTTGCCTTCCTCTTTCCTTTCTCCCTCTCCACCTTGCTGCAGTATTTGCTGTTGATGTTCCTGCCCATGACTATCCTCCACACACAGTCTTTCCAACAGAAGCAGCTTATCCTCCTGCCTGCTCCATGCCTGTGCCCCTGTCTGTGGTCAGAACTGCATTACAAGCACTGCTAAAACATTTGTTACTGGCCTGACATCTCTTGTAGTCACAACTGCTTCAAAATGCCTTCCAGTGAGGGTTTTCCTTTCCATTTGTGTTCCTGCATTGTGCCAATTTTCATTGCCCTACAAAGAAAACCTCCTATTTTCCTGACCTTGTCTCCACCACTTTTCTAAGCTGTGGTCAGTGACGCATCTCCATGTCCTCCCATAGCTGCCGACGAACTGAGGGCCCAGGAACACACGACAGCAGCAGAAATACCAGGAGCTAATCCTCCCCTTTGCCCTCCAGGGGAGGAGTAACCGTTTTCTAAAAAAATTGTGTCTCTACTTCACATTTTACCCTTCAACCATTTCACTGTCTTGCTGAACACTCGCTAGAGAAGGGTGTTTCCTGTGATTTTTCAAAAACTATAAAATAGTGACTCAGGTACCCAAGAATCCTTTGCAGCACTAAAGGATTCGTGCTGTGATAGACTTTACAGCTATGACACATCAGCTGTAATTTTTCTTAATCCAATTTTTGGTTGCAATCATGCATTGAGGTAAGATTGGAAGCGCTTTAAAAAAAAGCAGAATTTCCATTCACGGTATTTTCCATGACTACTTCTGCTGTATATGTTCAAATGTTCTGAAAGTTTAAAAGGAAAAAGAGGCACAAGATTATGGATCTCAAGAAACAGACACATGGTCTCTAGATATTTTTAATAAAACCGAAGCCTTTCCACATCCTTTCCTTCAAACCTTTTAGGTTGTATCTTTAAAAACCAGGAAACTAATATTTGTGCAATTAAATATTTAATTTTCCCCTGAACAGTAATAACTTCGGAAGTCATCTCTGACAGATTGCCAGGAGAATGATTATTCAGTATTTTGGGCAGCGCCCTGTCATCCCAGCTCTTGATTATATTTTCCTTTTCGGTCGCTAACA